CGTACTACATACACGCGATGATTTTCTTCATATTATTTTTTCAGCCTATTTGAATCATCGCCAGTGTTGTTAACCTCTGGGCGGCGAATTTTACGGTTTCGATATTTCAACCGGGTCGGAACAACGCGCGAAGTGATGGCTGCATCGGCAGTGACCGGTCACCGCCGCCGCCTCCATCACTGCGTGGGCATGTAGTATTGCATGTTTATATATTATTATTATCATCATGATTTACTATACGTTCGTTCGCTCAATAACAACAGCAACAACAACAACAACGACGACGACGACGACGATGATCGCGTTACGGGGGCCTATGATGCGGGGATTTCCCAACGCGGTCCGTCCGCCAAAAGCAGAGAGATGCGTCGTTTTTTTTTTTTTGCGTCGTAAAATTATTAACTCGGTGCCGGATTCGATGCGCCGGCCGTCGAACTACGGACGTCGGTGCGTAGAAGTTGACAGCGGTAGGATGAGCGGAAGACGCGCGCGCGGGGGACACGTGTTCCCGAATGCCGGCCGGCAATGATCGATACCGCGCATACGCAGCACAGCACGCATCGCGCGAGTCCCGTTATTGTTATCTATCTCGCTCGTAAAACATTCGCACGTAGGTAAATATTTCGAACGCACACTATTAATATTTTATTATTGCTTTTATTGTTTTTATCGCCCCATCGTCGTCGTCAATCGTCATCGTGATGATAAAACCGTTTGGCGCAGGTGTGTATACCACCGGTTTTCGTTTGCTTTTCAAAATCGCGGTTTTATCTACCGGACTACGGTTCGGTGCGTAAAAGCCGTAAACACGAAATTCCGCGCATTCGCTTTGCCGATTTCGATTTCCACCGTTTTCCCTACCCCTCCGACCCCGTTACGGAATCTACGAAAGTTTTACGTTGTTGTTGTTGTTGTTTATATCCCGAACGGAGAGAGTAGAACACGCCATTTTTCCTTTGTCACAACAAGTGTGAGTGCGCGCGCGCGAACGCTATCCCGCTCGCTCGGCCGCGTTGTTATGGTATTGCGACGCGGACCAGCGCGCACGCCCCGCGCCATCCACCCTCTTATACACACGTGCTGGTCTTCGCTCCACGTGCACCGCCGACGGAACAAAGAACATTCCCGGGCGTGCGCAAAAGGGGCCCCTTATTATTCCTCCGCTGTGTCACCTCCGCTCCGCCGCCATAACGCGGCCACTCGTTACCGCCGGAGCGACTTGCCCCTCCTCCTCCACAGCTGGTATACGTCGAACAGTGAAAGAGAGAGAGACGCCATCGCGGTAATAACAGCAGTACAGTGCAATGGTAATAATAATATACCAGCGCGGAACAGCGGCCGAGTAGGGGGACAGGGTGACGACCACGTCCGTGGACCGCGTACAAGGGAAATGCATTGCGAGAAATTTCGCACGGATGACGCGCGCTACGGACGCGGCACGTGTCGCGCGATTTCATTGCAATTTTTTTTTTACGCCAAGGCCGTTTTGGCGTCCTTTGTTAGAGCGCGGCGCGACCGGTTCTCCGACATAATATTGTTATCCAGAAATCCACAACGCGATCGCCAGTAAACAGGACGTAATGATAATATGGTATACGGCCAGCGTATATATGTTGAAAATTCCAGTACGGTAAACAGTAAACAAGAGTATGCCCATTAAAATGTTGTCAACATCGGAGACACGTAAAATAAATAAACAATATTGTTGAGTGTACCTAAAAACTGTATAGTATACATGTTATAATAATATGTATGACACAGTTCTGATTGTAGCGAAACACCACATAGCGGTATAACGCATCCATGGTGGGAACGTATGCGTAATGAAACGAATCGAACTTTTAGACTTGGGCACACCGCAAAATTATCACTGCCGGCGTGCCATAATCGCGGTGTGGCGGTGGATGTGTGCAGTTTTTTAGTTATAAAATAATCGACAATCAGCGGATTGGGAGTAGAAAAAGTGTGTAAAATGACCGATGACAATCGGAATTTTTGGGTGACCACTTGTTCCCGTTATGAAACCACTAAAAATGCATGTTTCGAAGGTTGATAGAATTTTTTTCTACGCAACGTAATTATTTTTTTTATTTGATGTTATTATAAGTTTATTCCATTTTTAATCAAAATTAGACTAGCATAGATTATAAATACGTATACCACAAGCGTGAAAAAATATATAATAATAAAGGCATATAATGAGCACGTGCACTACCACAAGCAGCAGCTAGTGCAGTTGCGAAAATTGCAAGGCCAAAGTTGCAACAAAAAAAAAAAATTCAAGGAACCGACATGTCCAAGGACTTTATGACACACGTTGCAGCATGCAATCTGACACTCCAGTATCCCCTTCACCACCACTTCATTGTCAGTCGATACACATACGCGCACAATGTATTTACTTTATTTTTATTATATATTTATTATTTACGCAGAGGTTTTCCAAAAAGGGAAAATAATATCGAGTTTAAAAAGAATTTTAAGCTATTGTGTTGTAATTCGGAATTGTGAACAGCTGTTTTGGTGGGGGGAGCGTTCCAAGACCAATAGAGCAGATATTTTAAAAATTAAAACCGGTCTTGTTAGGGTGAATAGTGAATACCCAGACACAAAGCCAACTACCACCAATCCCTCCAGTGACTGGAGGATATAAATTATTAATACCTATTATTACTCTTGTAAAAGCGACTTGCAATATACCTCGGCAATGGAAAATAAGCATATTACGACGTTATACTATATTATATTATATACGAACAAATGGACGTGGAAGGTAGAACCCGACACCACCCGTCATCAGAGATACTTACTACTTATAATATTTTATACCACGATTAAGGCAGTTAGCGTGGCAAATTTTGGGACGAGAATCCGTTCGACCTACTGCCATCCAGCGTTCTTGCAATACACATCGCAATTTCCTACTGGGTCCGAATTTGTTTTTTGCTAACGTACATAGTTATCCGTGTATTAAGGATGATACTAGATATAATAGTATTGTACTTGGGGATACATATTGTAGAGTTTTGCGAACAAATCAATTACGTACTTAAACGCATATTTCATATTTCCAAGTGCAACTATATACGTATTATGAATATTATGATACGCCTCTTTCGTTGTGGCTACTATATGTTATACGTGTTCGCATTCTTTTAATGAGCGATTGTAAACGTAAGAATACCTCTCACTTTCTCCTATGATTCGAATCCCAATTTTTATCAATCGACCGTAAATAAATTTTTTAATAAATATCACGAGGAAAACTGATTTCTTCAATGGCTACAGAATGAAAGTTGTCGTTTCGAATGCTTGTCCAACGAATAATATACTATTATACATTTGTTGTGTCGCAATTGTTAGGAAGGGAGTAGATTAGTACCGAGTATGATGCATTGATGCATTGATGCATATTATAGAACTTATGCATAGTTTGTACATGTTCTAGGAATGTTTTATCGATGATTTTCCTTACCATTACAGGGTGTATTACTTATATAATATTAATCGAGTAATTATATATTTTAGCATAATTATCATTATATTAATACATATTTGAATTTTAAAGGACAAACAGAACATGATGATTGTAAACTTGACACTCGAACGCGTTGGTATAGGTATTGCATTTTAAAAAAGTTTTGTTTAATAATAATGATATAATTAAATAATACATCAAAATAATATGAATTGGTTTTGTTTGAATTAGTATACAACACATTATCTAACTAAATAGGTATTATTATTATTTTTACACAAAACAATCATTAATGTTTAACATAAAATATAATATACATATATTATACAAACATTATGTTTTTATATAAATAAATAGATACTTGCTGTTATTTCAATATGAAAAATTATAAATGTACGTACTTAGTGAGAAACATTTTTATAAGATTCATGAACTATAAATACCAGCCTATGGTTTTTAATTGAGTAGAAAAAGTTATTCATATTGTCAAATTGATTAAATGTTAAACTTTAATTTTTATCCAAGTACGGCGATTATTGTTTAAAAAATACATTTATTTGCCATCAGGCAATGATTTATGATTGCGTTAATATAATTTGGAGGTGGGTAAACAGTTCACGAGAAAATAAAGTTAACAAATTAAAATTGTCGTCACGGCTTGTAGCGCTCAACTGAAAATTGTAATATAGATATCTATTACTAACGGATCAGCGCACTTTCGGGGGAAAAAACCTACAGCACTACCGTAATTATTATTATTATGTACCTACACCTAGAAAATTCTAGCTATTGAATAAAAAATAATTAAACAAAGTAATACCAACACTATAACACTAGAATCAGCATGCGAAAAAAAACAAAGAGCGGTTTTTTTAACAAGCTAACAGGGGCGTATCCGTTTTATTAGTTTTATATTTCACATATTATCTCTTAGCATTCAAATTAACGTAATGTTAATATAATAGTATGTACAATAACACAAACATATTCAGGCGCATTTTAGAAAGGAGGAAATATATAATGACGGTCCACGCGTGCATATACGGATGGACGATGATGGCTATCGGAGCAATTATTCTAAACATACATCGTAATATACCAATCACAATCATTTTGACGTGAAATTTAATTTCAACGTGTAACATAGAGAATTTTCTGTTTTCTCGACGAGGTCCGGGACACGTCATAATGTCATGCAAAGAAAACACTTTTAGATCAAGCACTATTTGCCTGCATCGTTGATCTATATATATGCACATTTGCATATAATTCTAAAACTATAATACAACTATTGTATATGATACTGTGCCTAATCACTGATAACAGTATATCAACGAATATAATAAACAACGGTTTTTTTCGATACCTACATGTTTAATTGAAATATGATAATAGTATGTGAAATACCACAATTGAACCGTTGAACTCGCCGAAACAATATTTTTTAATTTCATTATATTATAATATACAAAACGTAGAAAATGCTATTTGTTATTATCATATAGTAACATATGCTACTAACCTTCTTTCGCTTGGGCACGTCTTCGAAATCGTCATCAGTTAAACCGATGCCTTCATCGACGACCGACGGCAGGCCGCGTCCGCTCCAAGCGGCCGAGGAGCTGGACTCGCTAAGCGGTGGTGACGGCGAGCTACGACACGAAAAAGCTCCTTCGCTGGATGTGGACGGGCTGGTGGACAGTGACTCGGGTTGTTGGCAGCGCGTAATGCGTCCTGTGTATAATGTACAAAAAACATATGGTTGTGATTTTTTTTTTTTTTAATAATCGTTAAAATATCAAAAATAGCAATCAAGCATGTCAAAAATGGCGATTTTAATAGTAATAATATTATATTAACACCGGGTGGTACAGAAAAACGTAAGGGGAGAGGCTTGAGCGAACGCAAGATAATTCGCAGAGACCGAGCGCGCGTGACGGGCGGGCGCTCGCGGGGGGCCCCCACGCAAACGCCAGCCTATGCCGCCCGAAAATAAGCTCGTAGGCGACCGTGATGTGACGTCATCGAATGACGCTTTCGTACCGGTACGCGGGGGCGACGGTTATTACTGTTGTCGTCAGGTGGTGAATCGTCGTAGTCGGTTAGAGCGAGTTGAATAATAATAATAAAAAACACGACGTATGGATACGTATACATTATTATTAACACTCGTGTGTTTGTGCAATTGTGCGTAAGTGCGCGTGTGTAAGTCGATTCACACGCACAACAACGATTCGTCCTTGTATGAGCGCAAACGTGAATTTCGCTGTTTTTTTTTTTTATTAGTTTTTGTTTTTAAACCTTTTTAATATTTCAAACAATCAAAATTTGTTTGATATTTGTTTAACGACAGTTATTGTATGCATAATATTATGTACAATCAAAACACGCATTTCGTACGTGATGGACGTCAATGATGACGTTTTAACATTATGTACCTACTGTACAAATTATAACATGAAAAACAATAATAACGACGTCGATGACAATGAAAACACACGAAATTGTAAATTTCCGGATTAAAATCAACGAAATTAAAATAATCTACGAGTGTTTTACGCGATGCCTATATATAAACATCTGAAAAATCTCATTTATAGGTCATCATTGAAAGAACGGTCGAGTGAAGAATAACAGTCGAGTGTGGATACAGAATGTTATATTTGTTATTAGACAAGTTTTAACACGATCAAACTAATCTCATTATATAGTATTATATTATTCAGTTTATGAACTACAGTTTTTTTAATAAGTATGCGAATAAATAATAATGCATGTGGCGATAATGCAGTAAAAACGTGTACATATTGGCTGTTAATGCAATATTTAATAAGCAAGTGCAGCATAGTGATGAGAATCGACTGATAACAAAATGTTCTGCCAATGTACACATAAGACACTACGTCGTATACTTCATAGGTACCTACCGCAAGAGTTTTACACGCAATTACATATTGTTATCTCGTAAATTAATATCGAATACCTACTAAATATATGATCCAATAACGAACCTTTATAGATGACGACAGTTAATCGAAATGGAAAATAAAAAATATTAACTGCAAATTATAATAGATTAAAACTACATTTCGATTTGAAACTTTCGAACGTTGTTCGGATAGGATATACCATATAAACGTTAATAATTACACTAATGCTGTATAGGTATACTGATGACTGGTTGAATTCGATTTTGTCTATATTTTTTAGTTAGGTCCCCATTACATTTTCCCTTAATGATCATTTACGGACATGGCATTTCAGGACGACGGTAGCGCGGAGCAGGGAGATTTTCAACCGAGTTCTGTGTACAAGTCCTCCGTGTTACCCGTACACACGTAAACGCAGTATAATCATAACGTTATGATATAGGTAGGTACACCATTTTAAGTCGTGAAAACGCCATTCGCGAGATAGAAGATAACTAGAAGTTCATTGCGCAACATCGTCGTGCACACTGCACCTCTACTACAAATGAACATTGTACGCTGATGTGGGGGATTTACGAGGCATAGTTGTGCATTATATAGTGAACGTTATTGTAACGTCACTGTTTCTGGTTAAAAAATAAACTGTTTCGGTTTTCTGCGACGCGCGTCTTGACATCGTATATTATGTTATTATATAACAACGAGTGTTGTTCAAACCCGGTTTTTCGGGCGAATTCTTCACACTCGTCGTATCATCGTTTCGCGCGTGCTCTTGTCCGTGTGTCGAGTGGAACAATCGGAGGAAACAACGGATGCGTCACACACGCAGCACGTACAACGCTCGACACGATTTCGACAGTCAAATGACTCACTCATAATACACGCGTGTATCTGTAAGTCTGGAAACTAAGACGCATTCTTTGGGTGGTTATTGGGATGACGAGGAGGGGGGGGGGGGGGGGGACTCGGCTAGTAATTTTATCGTGTAATTCAACAACGTACATGACGAGCGAGCGCGCATAACATACGTCTGTGCGTTTCGGCGAATGTTATGTGTCACGCATGCCGGCCGGCCGGCGACACAGTTTCCGAGCGCAGCCCGTCCTTGTCACGTCCAATGTCGGGCGTTCTGCGCTGCACGCGCGCGTTGGCGGGGCGAACCGGCCGGTGCATGCAGCAGGAGCGCGAGAACGGTTACGCCGTGGCGGTGCGGCCACGCGCGCTTCGCGTCCTTAACACTGCGTCCCGGTTACGAAATGCCGCATAGACGTGTACCGGAGCGCGCGAGGCGGGCCACCGCGGCGGTACAGCGCATAGAAAGCTGGCTTTTCACTTTTACCATTATCATATCTAGGCCACAGTTGGGCAACTCTCTACATAATAATATTAAACGCGTTGGTGAATTATTATTATTATTATTATTATTGTTGTTGTTGTTGTTGTCGTCGTCGTTGAATAACCGAACGGCGGCGGCGGCGGCTAAGCGATGATAAGAACTCCACGCGCGCCAGATGGTGGCGGCGGCCGCGGCATCGGCTCGGACCGTGCCCAGATCCGGCGGCGAGCGTGGCGTTTTTTTTAAAAATAAAACGATCGATTCATAATATTAATCGTAAATTCATAAATAGTAACAAAATATTGTCGACGCGACGAAACGAAAACCACAAACTCGATTCCATATTACATAATACATATATATACACGAGTATAAATGCATACGTAGATATTATTATATATTATGTGCGGGGGTCAAGTGGTGCTTTAACAGAAAAACCGATCGAGTGCGGTATACGAAATACGATAAGTTTTGAGATCTCTGATTTATGCGTCGGCTGCGAGACGTGTGAAATAAGAAGTGCAGCGTGTGCGTGTAACGCCGGGCCCGGTCGAGTTTTACACGCGTCGTCGGCCGTTATAATTTATACACACACGACGACAACCGGATCGTTTAATGTTTAGACGCGCGGCGAAGAGCCCCGTTATATGCACACATTACGTGTAATGCATAATATTATTAAATCGGGCGACGGACGTTGCAATTACAATTTTCGCGTTGGGCGCGTATACATTAAACGTGGTTTTTCATCGCTCATTGCTGCTGCAATAAGGCGTTATACACCTATACCACCCATATATTATGCTGTATAGGTGCACACTATAATATTATATAGGTACACGGTCCGTCTACACTGCTGCAGCAGTGGTCAAATCAGAGGTCAACGCACCGCTGCCGGTTAAAGTACATATTATTATTATTTTTTGTTATAAAGGTATGTGCCACGGTAGTGCGGCCGCGGCGGTGTCAATGCACCGTAAAACGAAAAACAAAAACACGCACAAACCACAAAGGCATCCCTGCAACACATAAATGGTATTTATTATATAGTAGGCGGCCAACGAAACCGCGTTGATTGCATGTTGTAGCTTCCTGTATACGTATAGGTAATACAGCTGTATATCCAAATATGTATATTATATTAAATATATGTAACCATTATGTGTAGCCGGCGTACCACCCTGTAACACCTGAAGCGCGGAGTCATTTGCCACGCGCACGTCTACTAACCATGTGCAATAGGCGCGATAATATTGCCATTATACATGCATAACATTAAAATGATATTATTATTACGCTCCATCCTGTATATTGTGTATACACGATATATCGAACTACAACGGCAGTCGTTTTTAAAAACGTAAATCAAGTAAATGAATATTTAGGTTTTTTTGGAAACGGCGATATTGTTGCATTGTGAAACCGTGGAGAAAGGACGTTGCAGAGCATGACTGAAAGTGAAATCCCGCGTATCGACTTCCCTCCATATCGTGTACAATATAATATTATATACAAAAATATCACTCCTCCCCCTATTATGTATATATATATATCACGCGACTGTAATACTATTTTATCTCTGTGCGCAATCGGCATCCCCCCGCTCCATAATCCGGGTCGAGTTACCGACTGCGACCGTTTTACCGGAGTTTCCATTGGGTTTTCTCATGACAGAACGCGCAAAAAATATAACAAACGGATTCGGGGTGAAAGTGCCCGTATGTAATATAACGAGTAACGATACACGGAATCGAAAACAATAGCAATTTTATATCGTTTCGTACACGATTACGAAAAATATACCGACATATTATAATCGTTGCAAAAAAGTGCATTAAATTCAAATACCGACCTTGTATGGACGGCGAGTGGGGACTGCATGATAAACTCATCAACACCAAGGCCGCAGTGCATTCTGTCATTTCTTCCTCTTTTGGTTCATTATCGTCGTCTTCGTCTTTCATTTCCTCTTCACGGGATTCATCCTGATCTTGGCTACTACTGGGCCGACGTTTTCGGGACCTGTAGATTTAAATAAATCAGAAAAATGATACATTTTAATTTAGATTCTAAACTTTGATAATCGTGCAGTACAAAGCGCTATTCGTTAATACTTATTAAACATAGCAAAACAGAGAAAATCAACGAAAATTCTTCAATAACAACAACATTTTGATATCATTTTAAAACTTTAACCTCTACCAGAATATGGTGGAAGGTCAGGGTAAACGACTGGATTCACACCTGGTAAACAAATTCTATTTTTAAACATCAAGGATGACGGAACTAGGTAGCAAGTGAGGGTTTATTTTAATTCTAATTATTATTATCAAGGTTTAAATTTAAACCAATTCCTTAAATATTATTATAAATATATTATATTATTATGTAGCCATTAGGATGTATCTCCTTTATTCTGAACTCATCAATATTATAATTCAAAAAATTATATCGGTCTAAAATCGAGCTTGGGTTATTTTATTTTCTAATTTTAATAAATCATATTGGATATCTATATTTTAATTTCGATAGTATATCCTTACAGGTAATACAAATAGAAGAAATTGCTCGATTTATCAACCGGATTTTCTATGTAGAAAAAAACACTATTAAAATGTTGATCGCCATCAACATTTTTTTTTTTTTTTTCATTACACATGTAAAAATGCAATCAATAAGTTTAATGCAAACAACCATGTAGAAACATTTATATAAGCAAGCACTTAAATTATAACCATAACGTACGTACTCCATACAGATCGACTAGTAACATATATTATGATACACATTATATGTAAATAAACCCCCATTATTATTACGTAACTGTATGTAATGGCCGAGTGATTTTATTTGCGCAATTATTATCCGCTGAAATAGTAAGTTTATACATATATATATATATATACTAATTAAATCTCCGCTGTGTGCCGGTCCCAAAGTGTTCCGGGATATATATAACATAAAAAAAAAACCAATAACAATATAATAATGTTAAATGACGACAATTTTCTTAAATATCACCACGCCCGACATGACTGAAAAAAGCAATAAGTAGGCCAAAACTACAATAACAACCGTCAGCAGTTTGACTCTCATTCATGGTCGCTGATATAACCCACACCATTATATATGTACGTATATATTCTTTAAAAATCTTGTCGTGTTCGCACTCCATGCACCTGCGACGCCAACAACCTTGCGAAATCCTATTGAACTTGATTGTTTTTAATTTGTGAACGCGTATGCATGCAGTGAAATAATCAGATTTCATAACACTAATCATATAAAGGCCGCGACCTAGGGTACAGTTCATTTTTCACTCAACATTACGATTGACATTTGTGTTTTAAAAAAATGTCAGTAAAACGTGCCGCCGAATTTGTTTTTAGCGTTACCAGTTAATACTAAAATATTATATAAGTATACAAACATATTATAAATTAATTCAGATTATATTACAGGCAAATACCTATAAATAACTAAAATGTCGTTACATTTATTTCGCATGTATATTGTATATGAAATTTATTATTTTGTTGTTTTATAAAAAATACATCAACAGAACACACAGATTAATTATTGAATTGACTGGTATATTACTTAATGGGCCTACGGTTTACGGGCTATACAACAAGGACGCGAACCTTTTACGATACGATTGCGTACCGTATTCGGCATGTGTGAACCTACATAGAGTATATTAATGATGACATGATGTACTATATAATGCTATACCTGTTACAACGCTTTATATGAATATAATATATTTGCGACACAAGTACTGACAGTGCACCGGTTTTAAATGATTTACCGGCTTACAGCAGTAGCACATCGGCAACATGGCAAGGTCGTCCGTATGTCAACCGACCTTGAATAAAAAATACCAGCTGATCCGAGGGCCGCTATTTCTTTTTATTATGTTTTTTTTCGTTACTATACACCTCCTCTCCGTGTTACCAGTCACCGCCCAAAATACAAGTATGTTTTAATAATCTGAAATACGGTTTTATGATGGAATACACGACAAGGTCTCCCGGACATAATTTGCATCACGCGAAGGGGGACCACCATTTATAATATAAAAGTGTGTACTGCGTAGACCTATTTGCAGTCACAATATATTACGCCGTGTTTATATCGTTTGGGCGTATGCTATAATGTCAATATACACTTGCGAGGATTCTGCAAGACCGACATGCAATCAATGACGAAAAATGATGCAGTCTCAAAACCGGAACTCTATCAAATGCACATTTTTCTTTAAATACACTAGTATCTCGTCCGTAATATGCATATACGCCGAGCGGTAGCGTTCCACTGATGTTGTATTATTAAAAACCAACTGCATACGACGGAAATTAATGAGAAGACGTAAAATATTTTTTTCCATCCCACGCACATCGAAATAAGAATTCAGCGGAGAAATAAATTTAAGACCAACAACCCAACTGTATAACGAGAGAAAACACCGTGCCAAATACCGTAACTGCCTGCAAAGCAGATCGTTTTCATTTTTGTATCACCCGCTCCTTCCTTTTGTGTTATCCTTTTTCGCTCATACTAATATAATAATAATTATTATTAATATAGTAGCATATAATATGAATAATATTATTCAACAAATGAAAAACGATATATCAAAATCGTACAATAAGCCCACACATTTGCACGCTCTATCAAAACAATTTCATGTTTACATTTTACATTGACGACCCTACATACTACTACCGGACTATTTTTATTATTTTTTAGTAAAGAAAAATAAAATTTATTTTTTTTATTTGAATACCTAATATGATATTATACAATTGCTATACCATCAATAATTTTCTATTTATAATGAAAACTGATGCCTAATTACCGAATACGACACCGTGCCAAAATAGTAAATACTAAATAAGTGTAAATTCATCATGCCCCAAACGAGTGTCAGGGATCCTGGCACCTTTCATTTATATGACCATCAGAACTCAGAAATGAAATAAGCTATTACAATGATTATGTTTAACGATATTTTCGGGCTATTGAACTGTTCTATTGTCTTCGTCTAAACCTTTATATATATTTTTTATCTCGACGTTATCTACGAATGTATATTATTTTCATTATTACGCGGCTATCGAACCACACAGAACTATAATAAACATATAAATGCTTAAAAGAACTTTGTTTACCTTAGTGTTTATGTCCAGTTGTAATATTTTAACCAGTCAAAGGTTAACAGAAAAAAAAGAAGATATTATATCAAACCGCAACGCAACATTAATACCAAAAATGAATTTAGAAATAATAATCTATTTTATTTTTTATTTACAAAAACCACTTACCCGCTGATTTCAACAACATTCTGAGAGGATGAACTACGTTTCCTGTCCGACATGTCTGCCAACCTAGCGAAATCTGTATCCTGGTCCATTAACCGAGCTGATTTCCTGGACTCTAAAACGCGAACGTCATCCAATTTCTTTATTACTTCAATGGATCCCTAGAAAAAAAACAACGGTAAATATTGGTTGTAAATAAATTGCATTCCGCGAGGGTGGCTATAATCAAAAACGCATCATTTTTTAGTAACCACCGGTAATTATGTACCTCATATTTAATCAATTTATAAAATAGTAGCAATGCTTTCACTCCGCCCGCAAGACCGGTTCGCTTCCTTGTGAAATCGGTGAAATGCGTACTCATACACACCTATGTCTCAAAGTTCAGTCATATGAAATAATTTTATTTTTCATAAAATAAGGAAACAAAACGTTTCAGTGACTGTTTCTATTTAAACTCGAGGTTAGAAACTTTTTTCATACTTGTAACCGGTTGGCGGTTACCACGATGATACAAATTACGAGAAAACTTACAAGTGAGATTTATGCGATTTTCCATGGCTCGACTAGATGACCCGGATTGTAAATCAAACCTGCGATATCGGTCGCGCACACGCCACGGCAAAGTCAAGGTCGAGCACAACGCAATTGTGAATTATTGTTTATTTAATAAATGTATATCAATAATTAATCACATAAATATAGCACCTTCTAATCGGTTAATCATAATAAATAGTAAATATTAAATATGCATACAGTTTATTGCCCAAGTTTCGATAACATGCGTTATCTGCGATCTTTTCCCACCTCTGTCAGCTAGGCATCCCCGGTACGAGCTAATTGTGGTTACGAGTTATAAGCCACCAAGTAGTACACAGGAACGTATAACTGAGGCGGAGGCGTTATGAGAGGGGATAAGTTTGACGCAATTACGATATCCTTTCGCCAAATCGTTACAACGGAATGTCGCACGCCGCTCGCGTACACCAGGAGAAAGGTATATTTTATTGTATAGTGTATATTATTATATTATTATTGTTATACACACACCGCGGTGGCAGCTTATGATGTAAAAATAATAAAAATGAGGTAGAAAGTAATAAGGAGCATTAGGAGTCTCACCCCCCGTATTGCATCCCGTTCACCCAACTGGTTTCAACTGCGCAGCAGTGAACGGAACCCGCAGCGATCCGCGGACGCCACATTTAAATAAATATAATAATAATTTAAATAACATAATATTTCAAAATCCGTTGGACACTGACTTGAGAACAGTTTTCGTAACACGTCACCTGTACAATATGACGAAAAAACTATTTTCAAATCGATGATTTTCGCAAAACCCGGCCCCATCGGGATTTTTTTTTTTAAAAAATCAGAAACTCGAACATCGTCAAAAACAGTTACGCTATAACCGGACGACGTCTGGGTGTCGAAGGGATTAAAAACACGGAATTCCATAAATACCGCAGATGGGGGGGTTTCGACCCCATTGAACAGCTGCTGCCACTTTCCGGCTGTTGCGGGACCACAGTCAAAAAAGAGATTCCCTGGCCGTGTGTGTATAGCCCGACACGTATCGGCGGGTCCCGTCCGACGAATACTTCGTATGAATATTTAAAAATCGACAAACGCTTGTCCCGACCGGCCGGCCACGACGGTAGGTTGGCAACCGTGTCGCCCGCGCATGCATATCGTAACCGCCGCCAACCCGGTGAAATTGGCGTACCTACGCGGAAAACTGCTGCGTACGCTGACCACGAATATTCCGGAGTTCCGTGTGCGGGTGACGACGAGTTGGTCACATAGCAATGAGCCGACTCGGTTATTGTTACTTGTCAACAAACACGGAACGCGTTTAAATCGCACGGTCAGCCGTGCACTCGCGCCGGCCGGCAACAAGTACAACGGGGCAGTGGACGCGGGCCGGGGGAGCGACTAAGACCGAAAGAAAACACATCCGTTTTGGCGCCAAACGCACGGGCTATCGTCCCGCCGCCATAAAGCGCTAAAAAACGCATAACACTCGCTAACATCGGATCGCTTACACTTGGCAATACGATCGTTTTATTTTTTTCACGCATACCCGTGTTATTAACTTTTTACGTCATAGCTGTGGGTTAATTATGCAAAGTCGATAATTTACATTTGAAACACTATCGTGAACATAATAATAAATCCATTATCCGCTGTTATTGTACACTCACCTCGTGCCCGTGCGGCATGATGGAGACGCGGACTTCCTCAGTGTCCGGTCTATGGACGACCACGTCACCAGATATCTCACGACCGTTGAACGTAATGTACACCCGCTGACCGGCCATCAGCCGGAGGTCGGACAGCGTCTGGAAACCGGGGCCGACCAGTTCGGTGGCCCGGTACTCGCGACCGCCGCCGGTCCCGTCGTCGAACCTAATTGAATACCCTGTCTCGGAGCCGTCCGCGGCCGTCTTGACCGCGGCTATGATTCCGGCACAAAGCTTGCCGTCGTCACCGGACGGCGCGCAGACGCGCGTCCCGATGATGGACCGCTTGGCCAGCCGCTTACCGGCGCCAGCGATCAACCCGTTCTTGTGCCGCATCGGAATCGCAAACGAAGCGTCCAGCTTGGCGGTGTGGTACGACGTGATTGATCGATATCGTTTATCGCGCGTAAGCACGATCTCGAGAAACGGGCGGAAAAAATTAAACACGAATATATATACGTACCGGTGTCACTCTCGTCCAATATCAATCGACACTCACCCCGCCGTCGTACCGATTCGGGAAATTGTAACAACACATTTTGATCGACCAAAATAATATTTGAGAAAAAAAAAGACTATGTCAATATAATATATATTAGTAATTATTTTTAATTTGCAATTTAAAAAAAAAAAAAACACCAATTTGTATCGTAGAAAAAAAAATAAAGTTTTTGAGCGGCGATTTTTTTCAAATTGTTTTCGCGCGAATGTATTGTCTTTGCAAATTTGATTTCACACGGAACACACCCGGTCAATGGGGAACACGATGAGACAACAACAATAACAATCGGTGATTTAAGGCCAAACTGCCAAATTGCTGAACAGCGAAAGACTACCGGCTTCGGCAAGGCGTAAAACGGAACTATGTACGTGGTTTGGCACAAATGTTCAACGCCACAGCTGACAATGCCGGTTGCCGGTATCCGCGCAGTGATACCAATTTACCGTACCCTATCGACCCGGTTTTGCGTTCCACACTCGTACTCTATTATTATTATTACGACGCACATCCTGAATCCACTTCTCCTTCACAAAGGAAATCAACACTGATTTTCTGACGTTTTTCATGAAATATAAATTCGACATTTTTTTTCGTCCACAATGGGCTTTTGATTCAGTCGCAAGCTCAGCCGCGGCCGGCGTAATATTACAAATATTACGCTTTCGGTGCACATATTAATGACGTCATCACTCGTATTAAAGGTTTATTTTTTATTTGCGTCGTCATTGGTATTTCCAATAACAATAATAATTGTGTATTGTATTATTTTATGTAATACACAAATATCCATATCTAACCTAGTAACTTAAATCGTACAACATAATAATAACAATATCACTATTACATTACATTGGTGCATTATATTTAAATGCATCCTGCATAATATAAAATAGTATCATATATATAAAGATATAATTTATTTATATAGGTTGCAGGTAGTGCCGGTAGTGGTATGACCTATAAATAAATTGAATATCTGAGAATAGTACTCATAGTCCCCTGGTTCGTGTAAAGTAAACAATTGCACAATGACACTGGATTACCCTTCATATCGTCTATCGACATTATTAATTAACCGATAAACAAATTACTAAAACAAACTAAATAAAATCAACGGAGTTCTCTATTACCATACCACCCAAAATGGCAAAAAACATCTTTATCTAGGCTTAAACTATACATATCATAAATTCATAAAACATCATTCTAGAAAATCAACCGAACAATTAATAAAAAAAAAATTTTATTATGTTACAATACAATTGAGTTTCTGTTATTGCAAATTTTTAAATATATTACAATATATTTGTGTTTGAATGACCAAAGTCGAATAATTTGTTACTTAAACAAATTTTTGTGATAATTATATCTTTACTTGGAAAATAATGTATAAAAAACAAGCAATCATAATAAAAAGTTTGAATTTAGATTTATTTTTCTACGTATTCAGTTATTGGTAGTTGTACAAAATTACGTTTTAACATTTATATTCAATGTTGCAATGCTATAATAACAAGTGTATGCCATTATATAAAATATAAGTACCTATAAGCACAATTTCATTATTTTATGTAAAAAGTAAAAGGTATTCAAAATAAAAAAAAAACTTGTATAACTTTTAAATAAAATTAACTAGTTCAAAATGTTCATTATAATAAATTATTTTATATATTAACATATTATTTAGATCTTTTAAATTCTATTATTTTTAAAATCTATTCGAATAATATATACGTATCATTATTTTTTTATAATTCTTTTGTAAAAAAAAAAAATTACTATTCAAAACTGTTTAATAGATTAATCTTATTTTTTATTTTCTAATTTAAGTGTTAAATTAAACAACTATTTCAGTCTACCTATTTCTGCATTAATGAAAAAAACCTTTATTTTAACGAGAAAAAAAAATAAAAGTATAGTAGTGATTTTTAATAACTAAACATAAATATAATAGAAAGAATAATTCTTAATAATATGCATTTATTTACATTTACATATTACATATGATATGTAAATAAAATTAAATGTTAATTCAATGAACACTCAATTTAAAACTCTACCTATAATGTAATAGCACTCCTCTAAACAGACTAATACATCTATTATTTAATACAATAATATTTTAAAACGTCCAAATCCTATATAGGTAAGTAGGTTGATACATAAACTTATTAATTATTACATTTATTATAGTTAACTAAATAAAAAAAATAAATACATGTAGATACAACGATAGATAAATAAAAAGATACAACACGGTTTTCGCGTTGACAATAGCAGATAAAAAATATGATTGATGTTTTTAATGTTTTGACTTTCGGCATTAACATCAGACAAGCATAATTTATCCTTGTTTATTTAATGTAAAACACACAACATCAATATAATCATCTCGCGATTCATCTTTTGCGATATTAACTATCGTAGAATTATTATCAATTCAAAAAACAAAAAACCAAACTATAAAATAATAATAATTTTTTATTTTAGAATACCCGTTATAGTTCTATGCTATTTATTTATTTCGAAATTTACACCTCGGAAACAATCTAAATCTATGCTTTTAACGATTGTATTTTTGTAATACGCTTTGAACCCGTAGTGTGTATAAGGTGTAATTAAGTCCCCGCCCAAATTAAGGTGAAACCCAACAGTACAATGTGGCTTTGAAACAATTTTGTATTTATTTTATTTATTTATTTATTTATTTATTTTTTTTTTTTTTGTCTTAAAGCTTTTTGTCATTGACACGCAAACCACATATACATCGTTAAATACATCGACAATGCGCATTGTGTTAATAATTCTAAAAGCACCATACACACATGCGTATTATTATACATTATATTACAAATTTATACTGTTCGCGTAACAAAAATTCTAAGGCTATTGCCTTTGCCTATAATGTTAGATTTTTATCTAGTGTAAATTTCCCATTCGGAATCTCGTTTACCCCGCGCCGAACAAAAACAGCGTAATGCCGTACATTTTATTAGAAACATCGTTGCGTCCGTGTGTGTCTTTGTGATCGAATAAACAGATCCGTACACAACAGGTCTAACGCGCATAGAACTGTATTATTTTTGCAATAACGAGTAATAATAATATTGGTACACAATAAATTAACGCAAAAAAACACGACGATCCGAGAACTAGCCGTCGAGAGACGTCGCTGTGATGTTTTGTCATTTATTTTACGACTAATAAAAACCATTATAATAATGATGTGACTTCTGGTAAGCGGTAAGCGTCTGTACATAATATTATAGAGGTAGTTCAGGCTCACACAATAATGTGGTATACGGTATCTATACGATAAATTATAATATATACCGCGGTCGTCACTGCGTCCAACACGTTTTCATTGGATCCGCGATACATATTATGTCTACGGTCTACACAATAATAATAGGTACATTTTTTACATAATATTCGTGCGAGTGAAAACATTTCAATGTTAAAATATTCTGCGCAGTTGATTGTTTTTGTTTCGTTTTGATTTTTTGAATACCTACGTATCGTCGTATATGAACGCCGATCGCGTTTAATATCGTTCGATTCTTACACGTATTAATTTACGTAAATGTATAATATGTATGATATTACATGAATATACATAATACGCGAACCTAACGGATTTTATGGAAGGGACGAATGGAGGGATCAGCCCTCTCCGAATCATTCCGAGTTATAGTTTAGATTTTTATGGGTTTATTGATCAATGAAGTATTATTGTATTCAATATTATGAATGCTGTGACATTAATACAATTATGTATACGGTTTACCCACATATCACAGTGGTCACAGTGTTGTGGGAATGAGGGAGAAGCATCCCGCTTTTACAGTTATTTATGTCAACAACTTAATGTTTGCATGATAAGTACAAATCAGTAATATCCTATTAAAAATATTAAATTGATATGCAACAGCGAGTCGGCGAATAAACTTTGAATTTTAGGATGTTCAAAAAGTTTTTCTTCGTTGTTGTCCTTTTGCCATCTTAAATTCAAATATACGTATTTAGAGGTATAATATTTATAATATCGATATACATAATCCGCCTGTAATATTTAAAATATAAAAATTCGCTTCTAAGTGCATACTGTGTGCATACTGTGCATGTATAAAATACATTATTACATCTGTGTAGTGTACATATTTATATATATATATATATATAAACACGATGCCGAGCAACGTAATAGACGTAAGACCTACTACTGAGTACCGGAATGACCCACTTTTCGTGGTCAGAGCGAGAGCAAAATGTCCGTCGTGACCGGGTTTTATGTGATTTGCAAATGGGTCAAAAGAGCCACGGCAACCAAAACGGTAACGATAATAATAATATTATATTTTAAAATAATAATATGGTAAACCGAGGCGAATCGTGTGTACAAACGGTATGCACGTAAGTGTGCACACATTTATCCATTTATGTATACGCGTACTTATTTTAAGAGTACAGTACCTAACCTATATGACTCTCAAGTCTACGCAAAAATTCGTTGACAGAGAAATGCGAAAAGCGAAAATGTTGCGATCGCTCCACTACCATAGGTGGCGCCTTTTAAAATTTATATAATATATATTATATTATACGTATGACAATATTATAACGATGGTAGGTACGCGTGTATGTCGTTATTGTGTGTGCGGTGCGAATTTCAACAATAATAATTCTAAGCGGTAAATAACGACGCTAAAACTGTTGTTGCGCCGGCCGGTCGGTACGTGTGCGTATTATTTTTTCTCTCTACATATTATTATTACTATGATGCGCACTTCACCGGCCGGCTGGCCCTCGATGGCAGCTCAGCTGACACGCGTAAACACAACTTTCAGCACGATCGTCGACGGTGGCAAACGGCCGGGCGCGAGGGGAGTCTGCGGTGACCTCGGTACCGTGTTTACATTGGTTGACCCACTTCGGCATCGACTCGGCGCGCGCACGGCGCGCACACACACGCGGACTCGCGCGCACGCGCTTTCCGCAAGTACGCCAGTCCGCGCGTCCACCTACCGCCGCACGACCCGTCAGCCGGCCGGCCGGCCGGTCTCCGCGCCGCTAGCGCGAATCGGTGGCGGAGACGGCGGTTCGCACGGCGAAAACATTGTGCA